GAGCACTGATTCCTGTTGAACACACTGGGAGAAGAGTAGGAAAAAAAAGGAATTTTTGCAAGTTCACTGCCACGTGTTGACACCCCACTTTTGACCTAAATCTGTGGGTGTTGCTTAAAAAAATTAAATAAACCTATTTTTCTGCAGCCACGGGTCAAATGTTGTGTGAACTAACACTGAACACCTCAAAAAGTTGTTTTCTTTCCCAGTAATAAACCCCCAAAGCAGGAATATTAATCCAACTCCTCACACAGTCAGGGAACACTTATTCCTGTGGAACACACTGGGAGAACAGGGCAGGGAAAAGGAGATTTTACAAGTTCAGTGTCACATTCTGACGTGGAATTTTGACCTCAATCCATGGATATTGCTGAAAAAAATTTTAAAAATCTGGTTTTCTGCAGTCACATGTCACTGCTGTGTGAACTAACACTGCACACCTCAAAAGTCAGTTTTCTTCCCCAGTAAGAAGCCCCCAAAGCAGGAATATTAATTAACTCCTTCACACAGTCAGGGAGCACTGATTCCTGTTGAACACACTGGGAGAAGAGTAGGAAAAAAAGGAATTTTTGCAAGTTCACTGCCACATGTTGACAGCCCACTTTTGACCTAAATCCACAGGTTTTGCTTAAAAAAATGAAATAAATCTATTTTTTTTTGCAGTGCTCTGCATCAGAAGTTCCATTTTATCCAGTAATTCAAACATCTGTCTGGATGCAGGATGCATTCTAATTAATATGTTCTTGATTGAAGCTTCCTAACAAACTAATCCCGTGACCCAAATCTCCTGCTTTGGAATACATGATTAAACATTATCTTATCAGTGTTATGGTGCAATCCCTGAGTCACCAGAGCCAGCCCAGACTTCTGGCACATCATGGAAAGATGTCCTGACAAGACACAGGGAGTATAAAGAGTTTCCAAGGAAAGTCTTTCCTGGTCCTCGGGAAAAATCAAGTGAAAACAACTGAAGATCTGGAGCATGAAGAGATAAAAGATAAACACAAAGAAAGGAATAAATGCAGATTTATAAAGTATTTCCATCTCTCTGCATGACAGTCACAGCCATAATTCCTAATTCTACTGTAACAATCCAGTTTGCTCCACAAATGGATGAACAGCAGCCTCGACATCCACATTTCAGAGGTCACTTGACTGCCACAAAATTCCTCTAAAGTCAACTTTTCCCACCAAATTACATTAGGATACAGCTGAATGGTTGGGAGCAAATCAGGATTTGTTACCACTGCCCAGAGGAAAGATCAGGACACTGGGAATGTCACAACATGGCCTGGATGTGTCGGGGTTTCAGGACCTGAATGGGAAGTCAAAAGTCACCTGAACTTACCAGAAATTGGGACAAACCTCAGGTTTTCCTAATGATGCTCCATTTTTTATGTTATGTGTCAGCTTTAAAGTGCTATCAAGATGCTGTGTCTGCATCCAGCTACTGAATCCCACCTCTTAATTTTCCCTGTTTGTTCCTTAACTGGCCTTTGGACAGTTCATGTGTGTTCCAAAATATCTGGTATTTGGTGTTAGGTTGTGGAACAGGCAAATGCAATCCCTTCAAATTCACAACTTACACCACTGCACTCCTTGGGCTTGCCCAGAGATGCTCTGGATTCCCCATCCCTGGAGATGTTCAGGGAATTGATACAGGGAATATCAAGATACAGGAATATCACTCAGGTCATGGCATGGATTAAGACTCAGCTAAAGGATGCTCAGACTCACTCACTCATTTCTCCCCTCCTGCAATGTTGCCTTTGCTGTGCCAATCATTTTCTCCATAACCAGATTTCCCTGGATTTGGGAACTCGGAGAGAGGGCACAAAAGAGAGAGGAGAGGCAGGACACATTGTCCCCCTATTTTATTGACATTTGCAGCCCCATGAAAGCGGGCCCAGCAATGTGATCTGGAATTCAGTGGGACTCAGCACACTGATACTGCTGCCAAAGCCCTCGTGTGGAGGTGGGACTTTAGTCACAAACAAGTGTGGAGATTCCCTTCATCCAGGAAACAACTGTCCCATTGTTTTAGGGAGCTCCATTTCAATGGAATCAGTCTCCTTGGAATCAGCCTTGGAAAGGCAGCACACACAATGTCCTCAGGATTATCTGTGTCACTGATTATTTGTCCAACTGAGGCAACTGCTGAAGGTCCCCAGAGGAGCAATAATGGCACAGGCAGGGCTGGGAGAGCTGGGGGGGTCACCTGGAGAAGAGAAGGATCCAGGGAGACCTTGGAGCACATTCCAGGGCCTAAAGGGGCTCCAGGAGAGCTGGAGAGGGACTTGGGACAAGGGGTAGAGGGACAGCACACAGGGAATGGCTTCCCACTGCCAGAGGGCAGGGATAGATGGGATATTGGGAAGGAATTCCTGGCTAGGAGGGTGGGGAGGCCCTGGCACAGGTTGGGCAGAGAAGCTGTGGCTGCCCCTGGATCCCTGGAAGTGTCCAAGGCCAGGTTGGAGCAACCTGGTCTAGTGGAAGGTGTCCCTGTCCATGGCAGGGGCTGGAACTCGATCACCTTTAAGGTCCCTTCCAACCCAAACCATTCTATGATTCCATTGTTATAATTTCTGGAAGATCAGAAGAAAAATGAGGAACTGTCCTCATTTTAAAAAAAAATAGTGATGATGTCACCACCACTTGAAGAGTTTGAGGTTTTATCTGGGTGCACCAGCCCAACAGGCTTCAAGCAGAGAAGATCTCCCAAGCTCAACACCAAAGCCCTGCTTTTTTCAGTTAATGACAGAAGGAGGGGGAGAGAAAACAAAAAGATGTTAAACAAGGGGGGCAGCTGATAAGATTAACTCCTGTCAGGACACATGGGTGAATTTATTCAGGCCCAGGAGGGGGGAAGGCACTGCTTTCCTATCAAACCATTCACTCTGCAGAATATTTGGGGTTTGTTTGGGGTTTTAAGCGCCCAGGGCAGCTCTCACAGCGAGGTTTAGCGTTACTCTACAAAAACACCGGGAGTTAAAGAACAGATACACGAGCGGAAAACAAACAGGAAATGGAACAATGCCAGCGATAAGATACCCCGGAGAGCAGCTCAGGAGCCCTCCCAGAACAATGGCAAGGCCATTCATTAGGGAAGCCCGACGCCTGTCTCCAGCTGAGCCGGGAGTTCAGTCACTCCCCCGCCTGTTCCCAGCTCGGCACCAGGGTGTCCTTAGACAATGGCTCAATCCCAGCTCCCAGGAGCTGCTCCTGCTCCTTGGCCCGCAGTCAGAGCGCATTAAATTTGCTAAATTGGCAGAAAAGAGCCTGGCTAAACACGGGGAGGTAAAAAAAAATCTGCCTGCTCAGGAAGATGAAGCGGGGGTAAGACACCAAAGCACCAGCGCTGGGGCAAAATCCACGGGGGAGGGAGCAGGAAGGTGAGGCTGGAAAAGGGTCAGGTCACCTCCAGGGATTTGCCCCAAACCAACACACTCCCAGCAGAAGATGCACAATAATCCTTAAAACAGTCTCTGTTTGGAAAAGCAACGGGATGAACAATTGGGGCAATGAACTAAATGCTCTCGGGATGTGGGAGAAACCTCAGCAGGAAGAGCTTTGTGTGGGATGGATATAATGGAGAAAAAAAATAATCATCTAAAAAAGTAGCAATACTTGAGCAGATGGATACAATGGAGAAAAAATAATCTAAAAAAGTAGTAGTACTTGAACAGAATCGAGATAAAATAAACTCCAAGATTTGCTGGTACAGCCTGTAAAGTACCCTGTGCTCTCTGGGGAGGATAAAAAGCAAATGCCAACCTCCCAATTCCTTTCTCCTGTCAGTTGTGATGTCTTTTCTCCCTGGCAAAGAATGCAGGAATGCTACTAGGCAACCACTTCAAAATCAGATTAGGGCATTCTTTTAGGAAAAAAAAAAATCAGCTGTAAGTACATTTAAAGACTGGTATCAATACTGGGTCAGTTCTCACCCAGTGCTGGGTTTAATTTCAGTACAAATATTAATGAACTTGAAGCAAAGCTGTGAAATTTTATATTGGTTTTAGCTCACAGCCCAGTATGAAACTAAAGCTGGGGTGAGGGAAGTGTCATTAGAGGCAGCCAAGTGAAATAAAACATGCAATGACTGTAAAAAAAACACAGTTAGGAGTATCTGCTTTCCACACAAGCCAACAGGACTCAGGATGTAAAACTACATGGTTTTTTTGTCAGCTGAAGCTTGTATCTGATGACAGATTTAATGCATTTCTAGCAGTGACATGGAAGCTATGCCAGAAATCCTGCAGGCTCCACGAGCCAGGTCAGAGCACACAAGAGCCCCATTGTGGGTGCTGAGGGACCAGGGCAAGGCACAAACCTGCCCACAGCACACAATTCCTATATTTCCAGACCACAGGGGCTTAGTTATTAAGAGGGACGGTCCTATGAATGGAATAAATCCTCCATGTGACAACAAGGATTACACAAAGCAGTTCCTTTTGCCTGGAACACTTTCCCTGGAGCTGTGGAACGTTTGGAGTGGCTGTTCTTTGCTTGGCACTTCCAGCCCAGAAACACTCCGGGGTCAGCGGTGAGATGGCCCAGCCTGGTTTATGACATTAAATGAGCAGCAAAAGCAAATTCCAAGGAGTTTATCCGGCATGATTAAGTCCCACTGGAAGGCTGACAAAGTGACCTTACAGACCTTCTGACTGTCCAGTTGCTGCTCAGCCAAAGACTTAAAGCCCTGACCCTGGAAAATGTGGGATGGGAACAACCACATGGTACAGTTTGCATGGACCAAAGGACAACCTGGTTATGCACATTTACAACTTTTTTGTGTGTGTTTCAGTAAATAAGCTCCAAATTTTCTTGCTAAAATAAAATAAAATAAAAAAAAAACAACCCAGGCTGCTGTATCATTTCTCACACAGAGCTTCTTTAGGGCTACACTTCTCCATCCTTAACTGTGACACATTGTTTAAACAATCACTCCTCAGTCCTTTTCTCTCAAGAATTTCAATTATCATTTCTGAATTCTTCCTTTAATATCTTGACACTGATTATATATAAAAGAAGCCAGAGTCAATATTACATTATATTAATTATAATAAAGCAGCACAAAGCCCTGTTGCTTTCCCACAGCACACTTGCAAATGCTCCTTTATTTCCTACTGCCCTTTTCTCCCGATTTCAGAAGGAATAAAGCACTGAAACCACTGAAGTTGTTTATGTGCCAGCAGCTAAATCCCAACTGCTCCTGGGTTTCTCTTGCAACTACTTGAAGTTCTTTGCCTTATTAAATTAGTAAATGGGTTGAAGAATTTAGGGAGAAAAGAGAGCAACAATCAGCTGTTCCTTCCCTGAGAAACCGGGCTGGGGCTTGGGGCAGGAAAACGATCTTCATCTTTCTGAAATCTGTGGTATCTTTTTGAGTGCAGTGAGAATAAAAGGGGGAAAAATGTCAAACTAACCTAAAATGCAGAGGATTCCATCAGGCTGGGATTTGCTGCTCTGTGTCAGGATACTCTGAATGTTTCGGAGGCGGCTGCAGCTGCAAAAGAAAAGAGAATTTGTCCTCAAGGTCACTGTTGGGAAATGTCAGATTTGGAGGCTCAAAAGCTGACTGAGCTTTTTCCTTTATTATCTAAACTTCAACTTGGGTACTTTGTGCTTGAAACACATTCAGACCTCATATCAAACCATTCTGGGTTAATTTTGCCCACTAAAAGCTGAAACCCACAGCCCTGAAAAGACTGGAACCTGGAACTGTCCCTTCCAACCACGTGCTCTGTTAATCCCTAATCTCCTGCAAAAATTGCTGGGCAGGTTTGCCCTCACCGGGGCACCAGGAATTCCTTTCCTTGCAAACATGGGGTGGGTGATGCCCACCCAGAAAGGTGACACTGGGACTGCAGGAGCACCCACATCCCAACAGGAGTTTGGGGCAGATGAGTTTCAGCAGCTCCAGGGCACTTCCACCCTTAAAATCCAGGCACATCCCAGACCTCTTGCAAGTGCAATCATAAAGCAGGAACTTTTTCCCCTCTGTGCCCAATGAAATCACGGGATTATTTCCATAAACCATGAAAACAGACAGTCAGGAAAACTATAAACCTATAACATCTTTGATAATCTACATCAGAATTGTTAAATTTGGAAAAAAACCTCCAAGATCATGGAGCCCAACATTAAAAAGAAATGAAACGACGCCAAGTCTCACCAAGATTTTTCATAATCAAAGTGAACAGTTCATGATAATAAATTTTAATTCAGTTGTTCAATATCCATCCTCAAACCAGGGAAAAAATTCCATCTGCGACAGGCAGACAGAGAGCAAAGCCATTTGTGCTTCCAGGCAACGTTCTGCGAGCTTGTTTAAACACAGATAAAAGACAAGAAACTTCACTGTTGATATTCCTGAATGTGTTTTCTTGTTTATAGAACTGTTCGGCTCCAGGAAACAAAATGCCTCTTACAGAAACACTCCAAGCGAGCTAAATTTATGAGCAGTTCAAACAAACAACAAAGTCGGGTCAAATATTTCTGTTTCCACCAAAAAAAGCAAATAGATCTTTTCAGCAATGCTACAATTATCGTGCTCTACTTTCTCTGAAGGACAAAAAGGTTTCCATTATGGCCAATCCAAGGGAAACCCAACATCCACAGGGAAGGACAGACAATATCTGGAGATATTTTCATAGAAAAAAATCAGTGCAAACCACTCCAGCTTTAATTCTGCCCCTTTTTAGGTCACCCTCAAATATTCTCTTTGCCTCAAACTTCCTGATTCCTGTGCCACACTGGGTTGGATGCATGAATGGACAGTTTGATGTTAAATATGGAAACAGGAATTAAAGCCAGTGATGACAGCAAAGAGACACTTAATCAGGTGCTATCAGATGTTTGCCCACATAGGGGGTGCCAGGAAATGAATGAAAACAACACTGAACTTTATGCTGCACATTTCAGCAACTTCTAATTATTCCTTGTCCAAAACCTGACCTAAAACCATCCAAAATTAAGGGGTTTTATCTTGTTCTGGGAGATTTTTGGCCCATCATCAAGCAGGACCCCAAACGAGCTGGGTGAGATGATCCACTGTGACAAACTGCGCTTGGATATTTTTGTTTAGTGCTCATATTTTTATACTTCCCATGTCACAAGACCAAGAGCAGAAAAACCTCAGTGTGGGCACAAATTGGACTTATTTCATTTGTTGGTATGGAAACAAGGCCACAGTTATTTCAGGAGCAGCTGCAGGGAAGCAGAACTGCTAAAGCCTCTGTAAAAAAAACCAACAAAAACTCAAGAAAATGAAATAATTCCATGTACATCAGTGAAACGCTTCTCAAAATGCTTCTCAACTGTCTGCAATTCCAGGATTCCCAGAGGAACTGAAGGACAGGTTGGAAGGACCATGGGAAAGCCTGGCCAAGGACTTCTGCAGGGACACAACAAGCAGACTTTTATTAAAACATTTACCATTTGTGAGGAGAGAAACTGTCCTCAGAAATAATGTTATAATGTTTCTATCTGAGGGCACAAGGGGGAGGTTTTTCACTCAGCTCCTCAGAAACAAGATCCAATAATCCCTCTGCTACCTGTGTTCAGCTCTGAAGGCAAATGTAAGGAATTCTCCAGCCAAACACAGGTTTTTCTGGAGAGTAAAACATTTTTGAAACCTCTTATGCATTATAAACAGAGCAGGAATACAGAAATTGAGTTTGCTTTAATATTTCCCCCCATACTGATCCCTTTTATAAAAAAAGAATGACTAGAGCTCAATTTGACAAAGAACAAGGTAAAAAACTCACAGGGGAAGATATTTTCATTTATTAAAAACCATTATCATTGTGTATATTTTTTATATATATGTGTGTATATATATATGTATATTTTTTATATATGTGATACAAGGTAACCCGTTCCTAAGATCTTAATTTCAATGTCTTCCCCAAAAGGGTGACCCAAACACATTTATCTTTTAAAGTAAAAAGTAATTTTAAAAGCCTGTGCAAGGAGACCAGAGCAGAGAAAAGCAAAAAATACACATATTTTGTTGTCTTCCTGAGCTCTGTGAAAGTATTTTCTGGTCTGTCCAAGTGAACTGCAGTGGGAGGGAAAAGGGAAGAGGAACTAGAGGAGGAAAGTACCTGCATGTTCATTCTGGGGTGGGTATTTCTTTTCTTCCTTAAAAATATATGAAGTTCTCAGATTAAGCTGCTAAAATACTTCTGCCAAGTAAATCTGGGTGTCAGGAGACAGTCCTGACACAAAAGGGCAAATTATAAGTTCATGACTTCATAATGAGATGTAATGGCCAGAAAGATGTTTTTATTTCATTCTTAACACTGAACAACCTTCAGCAGGAATATTTTTTCTTCTCCTCGTTTAAAGAAGTGGTTTCTGTGAGAGAATCCTTTGAAAAAGCTCCTTCCCAGAAATATTTCCAACGTCATCTCAAGTGTGGATAAACCACGACATTGAAAGGCTGACAACAAACACAGCAGACTTGTTTGCCTGAAGAAAGGTGCCTTTGAGAGACAGGGGAGAGAATAATTAGAATTCTTATGACATGCTTTTAAACAATACAGGCTAAACTGGGTATAAAGTCGGGGCGGGGGGGAAAAAAAAGGCATTTTCTTGCATTTCACATTAACCAGCCATCTGACAAAAACAAAGAGGCTGTCCTGGGAACAAAAATCCATGGCTTTTCCCGGCTCCAAAGCAAGCTCCCTGCAAGGGCACTGACTTTTTACTCCTCTGCATTTTACCACAGCCACACAATTTCAAAGAGAAACGACCGAGAACGACAGAACAAATTACAAGTTTCCACACCACGGCACAGCACTCTGGGATTTGGGCTTCTTCCCTGGAAGATGTGGCTCTGGATCCACCATATATGTTAACCACAATTAAATGGACAGTAATTTGTTCCATTAGGTGTGTTTGGAAGCACAGTTTCATGAAGCCTTTCCTAAGGAAACCCCAAAATCCTTCAATGAGATTTTCCATTGAACTCATTCAATGATTTCTCCGTTTCCATGAGTTTGGACAAGAGCTGGAAGCTACTTATGATTCCATATCCTACAAAGCAACTTCAGAAACGGCCAAGAACTTGCAGGGGAGGGGAAGTGGGAATTTTCCCACCAGTTTGGGCCAGAAGATGTGATTTCTCCACGGTTTGGAGGCAGGATAAGATGCTCCGAGGGGCAGCCTCGCCCTTCTCGCTGCCTTTGTGTCTGCACTAAGGATCCTGCAGCCATGTGTCAAGTCGGATCAGCTTATGGATCCAAACAACCTCCAGGCCGGGAATTAGAAGGAAAACAACGCTTTCCAAGAGCAGCACAGCTGAGCTGACTGCTGATGAAGGCAGGTCAAAAGGCAAAACCACTGTTTGGGGTGACATCTGGCAATAAAAAGGGTGTTTGGGCCAATTAAGGAACTATACCTTGAGGTACTCGATTTTCTGCCGATCTTGGACTAGATCCAAAGAGAAAATAAAAGGGGGGTGGGGGTGGAAGATAATTGACAATCATTAACTTCTAAGAATTAGTGCTCATCTGTTCACGTCTTCACACTAATTATGCAAAGCACCTCGCCTTACAACAGCCGGGCTGTCACAGCTCGGGGACAGACACGGCGCTGCGAGGCACCGGCTGTTGGCAAATAAAGGGAATATTAACAGCTCTGCCTTTCTCCGGGACAAAGAACAAACACGTTCCCTCGCCGCCCGATTTTCCATTGAATTCCGTTTATTTTCCCCACAATGCGCCGCTTTTCCCCCGCTGCCGGCTGGATTCAGGCTGCGTGCGAGCTCTTCCCTTCCCTGCCGTGGTAATCCAGAGATATTCCCATTGATCCCGGGCCCATTCCCGATGGATCCCCTCCCACGGGCTGGGCCGGGGCGGTTCACACCCCGTCGGGCTGACAAAGGGGGGGATTTTCTCGGTGTCGTGGCAGATGTTCCGCTGCTCCTCCCCCACAAAGGCTCCCAAAAAACCCGCACGTGGCCGAGGGTTGATGGATGGCAGCGAACAAGGGGGAAAATCTGCTCTCCCTGGCAAGCGTGGGAGAATCCTCACGTATCCGGGGCTCATCTGCAGGGAATGACGGGGACAGATTCCTGCTCTCTACCTCAGACAATGGTTTGAACAGCAACTGCTCGATTTAACATCAGTAAATAAACAGGAAAGTTATTTTTTCCCAAATAAACAGGAAAGTTATTTTTTCCCAAATCTCATTTCTTATTAACTTGCTGTCACTACCATCTGTTTCCACTCTGCCCCCCCACCCAAAAACCAAGTTTATTTTCTATAGGTCTTTTGTTGATCTCACAATTTCTACCAGAAACATCATTATTATTGTTGTCTGATATATCAGAGTCCAGGATTTCCCTGGATTTCCCCCACTCTGACATTATCACCACCGTGAAAACAGAAACCAGAAGTCAGACTGTGTTAAAGACTCTCAGAATTCCATTAATGTCAAAAGCAGATTATTTGAAATTTAATATTTAGCTTGAACAGTAACGTGCTTTCTCATTTTTTTGTTATTTTTTCATAGCTCACTAAAATAACTTATAATAACTTTTACTGCTTGGCATTCACTAAAGACAATGGCATTCACCCACCTTAAAGTACATTTTTATGTAATGTAATTTAACGTATTTTAACATGTATTTTTACATATTTTAAAATACAAAATTTTCCAGCTATTTCCCAAATTTCTCTAAAATGAACCTGGAGATCTTGACTGTAAATAGATCCAACGACATTTTTTGAAATAGTAAGTAGCAAATATCAAAACGGACACAAAGAAATTTCACCTCTGAGGGCATTCCCAGGACCAAATTCCTCACTTCTTGACTTCAAATGGTCGGGAACGTTTACTATTTATTTTTTTCTGCATTTCAGAGACCTTCAAAGCACAAAGGAGGAAACCTGAATCTCTCCTTCCTAAACCTCTGGAACTGCCTGATGCCGTTGGCACATCAGAGGCTACAACTGTTCCCCCTCAAAAAACATTTATCACTGAAAAAAAGGCAATAATTGAAGAAGCAGCACGAGGGTGATTGTTCTGCCTCTGCTTAGAAGGACAAGGCACTGTTTGGCACCTCAAAAATCAAAGTGAAGCTGTGATGCCTCAAATTTCCCATTCCTGGAGCACGAGCTCTGCAGCCACGTGGCCACAAAGCTCCAAGATGCTTTTCCATCAGCTCAATCCAAACAATTGCAAAGGGGGATTTTCCTTCTGCCTCTCTATTCCCATCACTTATTTCATTCCACATCCCTCTGAACTTTGGCTGCAGCCAAGCACAGACCTTAAGCCATCTCACTTCACAAGGCAGAAAACCATCCATATGCAAGGAATGGGGTTTGCTTCCCTTTTTTTCCCCTCCTGTACTTCAGCAAGTCAAATCACCGCTGCCTTTGCATTGCTAAAATCCAGCTCACTCCTTAAAAATAATCCAGTGAAACCGTGCTGTTACAAAATTCCTGAACCTCGGCATAATTCCATCAGGAACACTCGGGTACAGAGTTAATCTTTCCCCCATTAAAACTGGTTGGGAAACCAAAACAACTGCCTTGTTTCCGGCACCTCTGTGCTCCCAAACACCCCTCCAAGGGATCCTCTGGAGCCACAGGAAAAAAGCCACATCCTTAACCACGGTGTGATTAACGACAGGGCAGTTCAGGGGATGAGAATGTTAAGCACGGGGGAAGAGACAACATGAAAATTAACCCAAGGACTCGTTTTGCATTTCCCCACGTGGTGAGAACTCTCCCGTGTTCTGTTACCAGCAGGGGTAAGGAATAAGGAGGGTTTGCCTGCTCTGTTTTACAGAAAGGGAATTCAAACTGGGAGGGTGCAGAGCCCTCCCAAGCACACCAAAGCCACGATGATTTTCAGGGGGAGATCCTTAAAACAACCATTTCATAGACATTTTGCTCAGAAATGAAGGAAAACACTCATTCACCACTGAACACAGACACAGGAAGGATGACATCACCCTCCAAGAAAACATCCCCTTTTTTGGGCAGTTTTCCTCTCTTAGTTAAGAGATTTTTCATTTCTATTTCCAAACCCGTTCCTTACTTGCTGGGGTTGCTCCCCACATGGCACAGCAAAACTCCAAAGTCTGTGGAAGAACTCCAAGAATTCCCTCTGGCCCTTACTCCAGCCTTTATATAGTCTGAAGAATTTTTCCATTCCTGTTTGGGACTCAGGGGCAGGTCGAGGGAGGGTCACGGATTGCTTTGTTTTAAGTTATTTTTATGAACTGCCTGCTATCTGCTGACTGCTTGGGATATTTATTGCAAACACTGGCCTCCATCTGGGCTGAAAATAAAAAATAAAAAAAAATAAGAGAACACAAGAACAAGAAATGTTGAGGAGGAAAAAAACTAACGGACGACAAGGCTCCTCTAAAGTGCCAAATTCCAGATGCTGGCTGGAGCTCCTAGTGGAGCTCAAAAGCTTGCAGATGTTCCCAGAGCCTGAATGTTCTCATGACAACTCTAAAACAGGGTCTCAGATTACAAAAATCACTCAGGAAGAGAGAGGCTTGAGTGGAAACCATTTTCTCTTGCAGCATTTTTTTTGTTCCCATCTCGGCGTTCTGCTGCGGATCGTGAGTTTTTAGATGCTTTAAAGAAACGACTGAGCTCTTCCTAAACAGTTAAGATTCATTTATTCCATGAAAATATTATTTGAAAAGGTCACTTTTGCTTCTCTCTCATGAGTAATGCCATTTCTAAGTGCAGGCAGAGAAGGAACAGAACCAGCACAGCACAGCCACGTTCACGTGTTACCAGCAGAACAACCTCCATTTCTCTCCCTCAGAGCAGAATTCCTCATTTCACAGGCAAATTGTCCAAAAAAGTGAAAATGCTTTTGTTTCCTTCTTGTACTAAACATAAAAAGCTGTTTGTGTTTTTTTTGGGGGGGTGTTTTTGTTTTGTTTTAATTGAAAACCTCCAGCAAACACAGCCCTCAGGTTGCTCGGCCAAGTGTTTGTCTGCAATTCACGTGCAACGTCCCTGTTTCCCTATTATCTGGCTTTCCACTGGTGAATACTTCCATGTATTGTGCTGGGACTATTGAAAGCATCAAGCACTTCAGTTCCTGGGCTGTTCTTTGTGGCGTTAAGGGACAGAATCATGGAATCATTAAGGTTGGAAAAGCCCTCTGAGACCATCGAGTCCAACCTTACCCCAGCACTGCCAAGGCCACCACAAAACCACGTCCCCGAGTGCCACAGAAATGTCTTTTAAATACCTTTTAAATACCTGGTGACTCCACCCCTGCCCTGGGCAGCTCTTCCAGCGCTTGACAACCCTTCCAGCGGAGAAATTTTCCCTGCTATCCAACCTAAACCTCCCCTGGCACAACTTGAGGCCGTGTCCTCTATTCAAACCCTTCAGGCTGCTCCTGAAGTCTCAGGGAAACAGAGCTCTGGCAACTGCAGGACACCTGAGCTGACACTCGAGCTCCCAGAGCCCAGGCCACCATCTCACATGTCCCCACACCCCACCTCCTCCAAGCCCTATCCCACGTATTCCGGAACCTCAGGGAGTGTTATTTATTCCCTTTGTACCCTCCACAACCACCCAAATGCACCACCTCCTTCCTCTCCATAATCCCTCGACCCCCTCCCAAACTTTGGCTACCCCTGCCCTAATTCCCCTTTCCTACCTTTCCCAAGCCCTTTTTCCCTGTCTCCAAGGCAGTCCACACCCATCCCCTCCCAAACCAGAGCCAGGTTTATCTCCCCACAGGAACAGGACCCCAAACCCACTCTCTCCACACCAGCCCCCCTCCAAATTCCCCTTGTTGTCCTCCTGTCCCTCACCCATCTTGGCCTCCCACACACCCTGCTCCAGCAGGATTCCGGCTTTTCCAATCCCCACATCCACAAGGTCGCCTCAGGCCCCTGCCTGCCCTCCTGTCGGGGCCACCAACACCTCCCTCTTGGTAGCCACCTGCCAAATCTGCCTGTCCCTATTGTGCTACTCCCTTCCCTCCTGCTCCCAGCCCCTCACACGCTGCTCCCACTCCTCCAGCCTCACCAAAACCTCCTTAATGACCCCAAACCTCCCCTGCAACACCCCCCAAAACACCTCCACGCCAGAAAATCCCTCCTTAATGCCCCATCCCCTCTATCCCACCCCCATCCTTCCCACCCCCAAAGCCCTGCACCGATCCTTTCCATCCCAAAGCCCCCAAATAGGTGTCAAACCCTATTTTCTCCACAATCAGCACCGTCAGCTCTCCGAGCACCCCAGTTTGGGTCACATCAAACCCTTTAACACCCCCTCATCTCCCTTAAAACCCCCCCTTAATGCCCCAACCCCTCTATCCCACCCCCATCCCTCCCACCCTAACGCCCTCAAACGGGCATTAAAACCTATTTTATCCCCAATCGGCGTCACAGCTCTGTGAAAACCTCACCTTCTCTCCCACACCGACCCTCTTAATACCCCCTCCTATCCCTTAAACCCTCTCCTTAATACCCCAAACCCTCCATCTCAGCATCCTCAAAGCCCTGCACCGCCCTTCCTTCTCAAAGAGGCGTTAAACCCACTTTTCTCAACAATCGGCACAGTCAACCCTCTGAACACCCCAGTTTCCTCCACACCAAACCCTTTATGGCCCCATCATCTCCCTTAAAACCTCTCCCTAATGCCCCTTTATCCCAGCCCACCTCGGCACCCCCAGAGCCCCGCACCCCCCGCTCCTCCCCATCCTCCCCATCCCAACGCCCTCAAACGGGGGTTAAACCCTATTTTTCTCCGCGATCAGCACAGTCAACCCCCCGAACACCCCAGTCTGGGCCATAAAAAAAACCCTTATCGCCCCATCATCTCCCTTAATACCCCTCCTTAACGCAGCTAATGCACCCCCCCCAAAGCCCTGCACACCCCCATCCTTCCCATCCCAACGCCCTCAGACGGCCGTTAAACCCTATTTTCTCCACCATCAGCACCGCCAGCTCTCTGAACACCCCCAGTCTGGGCCACATCAAACCCGTTATCGCCCCGCCATCTCCCCCGACACCCCCGCATCGCCCCATCCCCCTTCCTCCTCGCGCCCCCTCAGCGCAGCCCTCCCGCCGGCTGTCACCCTCCCTCCCCGGTGTGCCCCGGCGGTACCTGACGGAGGCGGCGGGGTTGCGGGGCCGGGCGCGGTGGCGCGGGGGCGGCGGGAGGAGCGCGGAGTGGCCGCACAGCGCCATGGCGACCGCGATGCGCCTCAGGAACGGGGCGGCCCCGCCGCGGCCGCGCCGCGCCCCGCCCCGCGCCGCGCGCACCACTCCGCGCCGGGGGCCCGGGGGGGGGGAACGGACGGGGCCGAGCGACACCCGCCTTGCTTTCCTTGCTCCGCGCCTTTCTGCCCGCGCAGCGTCCGTCTTCGAATTTTTTTTACTCGTCTCGCAGCGAGCGGGGTGGGGAATTCGTGGACAAGCCACAGGTTCTGGGAGCGGACACAGCGACGGGGATGAGGGAGGCCACCCCTCCGGCGGGAATGCGCTCGCCCAACTCCGGCCCCCGGCGCGCACACCCCCGGTGCCATCACACACGCCCACCCCCCCCCCCCCCGTCCTGGGGGCCGCCCAGCCCCCCCCCCTACCCCCCCCCCCCCCCCCGCGATGGGGCGTGGGCTCGTCCGAGCCGCCGGAGCCCCCCGGGAATGGGGATAAGGAGACCCCAAAAAACCTCGGCAAAGGGCGACAGGGAGGACCCCGGAGCCCCTGGAAACCCCGGGGAAGGGGTGACACAGACCCCCGAGGAGCGGGGTGACACGGAGACCCCCGGAGCGCTCCGGGAAGGGGAGACAAGGAGACCCCCGGGATCCTCTGGAAACTCCAGGGAAGGGTTGGCACGGAGCCTCCCGGGAAGGGGGAACAGGGAGACCCCTGGGGAGGGATGACACGGAGCCCCCTGGAACGCCCTGGAACCTCCCGGAGCGGGAGATAGGGAGACCCCCGGGGTGGGGGGACACAGAGACTCCCGGAACCCCCAGGAGCGAGGGGACACCCTCGAATCCCCCCGGAGCCCCAAAGACCAGAGGGACACGGACCCTCCCGGAGCTCCCCACTTGCCCCTGGGGTGGGGTGACACGGACCCCTCGAGGTCCCACGGAGGGAACCCCACGGAACCCCGAGGGATGAGGTGTCCTGGATCCCAGTCTGGAACCCCGAGGGATGGTGTGTCCTGAATCCCCCGGAGCCCCACGAGGCCGTGTGACACGGACCTCCCCCCACGGAGCATCCCAAAGCCCCTGGAGCACCCCAAAACCCCTGGAGCAGCGTGTCACGCACCCCCACAGACCCACCCAGAGCTCCCCGGGGTGATGTGCCCTGACCTCCACGAAACACTGCCCCCAAAAAACCCCACAGCACATGAACATACCCCCCCCCCCCCCGCCCCCCAGCACTGCACCCCCCCGTCAACCCTCCCCATTTACCCTTCCCCACCCCACTTGCCCCAAAACTGTCGCAGCCCCATCTGGGCACCTCTTTCACCAGAGAATCCCAGAATGGTTTGGGCTGGAAGGGACCTTAAAAATCATCTTTTTTCAATGCCCTGCCATGGGCAGGGACACCTTCCACTAGCCCAGGTTGCTCCAAGCCCCGTCCAACCTGGCCTTGGACACTTCCAGGGATGGGGCGAGTCCCCAGTACCCCACTGTCTCCCTTGGTCCCTCTCTTGTTACCCCCCCAAAACCAACCTCCCTTTCCATCCAGCCCCCACCTGTGCTGGCCATGTCCTGGTACCAGCACCACCATCACACGGATTATTCATTTTACACCACAAATTTGGGGTGTTTTGCCTCCTGGAGATTCCAGCCTTGCCACGAGCTCTGAGCTTTGACACCCCATTCCCAGTCTTCCCAGTCTTTCCCATTTTACTGTTACTGCATTTTTCCACCATCCCCTCTGTGCCTGTGTGTTGCACCATTGCCAAAAAACTGAGCCAGCACCCCCAGCTTCCAGGGAATGGGATTTTTGGTCCCACACACAAAACCTCCAAGGATCTATAATTAAATGACTATACCATGCAGGGAAGGATCTGGAGCCAGGATTTAATGAACTGTGAGGGACACATGGCTTGGAACTTGTAAATCACACATCCCCCAGTGACAGGGAACACACCCTGCTCCTCCTGCATCCTCATCTTCAAGCCCCAGGGGAAGGGAAAGCTGCCCCAGGGAATGAAGGGGTTGAGTGAGCACTGAGCAAAACCAAATTTGCTGTGGAGACTCTCATCCCCCACGTGGTCCTTTCCCCCCCCAGAAAGTTAATCCCCCTCCCCCAGTGTTAATCTGTGAGGAGCTCCCTGCCTCGTGCCCATCCCTGTTAATCACCCCGGCTCCTCATCCCCGGAGGAGAGCAGGATAAGACCCCTTGTCTGCATCTTGTTTTAATTACACCAAGAGCAGCATAAAGCCCTGAATCTGCAGCTTTGGGGCGGGACAGAGGCAGGGGCTGCTTGGAGCAAACTCCTTTTTTCCTTCCCAAAAGAGAGGGAAGCACACGAGGAGGGCTCTCGGGCTCTCACACCCACCTCGCCTTGAACCCGGCGCAGGTGGGAACACATTCCAAAGTGCTCTTCCTTTTTGTCCCCCAAAAAACCAAATTGGTCTTTGCTTACAAAGCAAAGACAAGATAGGTTGGAGAGTTGGGCCGATTCCAACGGGATGAGGTTCAACCAGGCCAAGTGCCGGGTCCTGCACTTTGGCCACAACAACCCCCGGCAGCTCCAGGCTGGGACAGAGGGGCTGGAGAGCAGCCAGGCAGGAAGGGAGCTGGGAGTTGGGATGGACAGGAAGCTGAACAGGAGCCAGAGTGTGCCCAGGTGGCCAAGAGGGCCAATGGATCCTGGCCTGGAGCAGGAACAGTGTGGCCAACAGGGCCAGGGAAGTGATTCTTCCCCTGGACTCAGCACTGGTGAGGCCACCCCTGGAGTGCTGTGTCCAGTTCTGGGCCCTCAGCTCAGGAAGGACATTGAGGTCCTGGAGCAGGTCCAGAGAAGAGCAGCGAGGCTGGGGAAGGGACTGGAGCACAAGTCCTATGAGGAGAGGCTGAGGGAGCTGGGGCTGTTCAGCCTGGAGAAGAGGAGGCTCAGGGGAGACCTCCTCACTCTCTGCAACTCCCTGACAGGAGGGGGGAGCCGGGGGGGGTTGGTCTCTTTTCCCAGGCAACTCTCAGCAAGACAAGAGGGCTCAGGGTCTTCAGCTGTGCCAGGGGAGGTTTAGGTTGGAGATTAGAAAGAATTTCTTTGCAGAGAGGGTGCTCAGCCATTGGAATGGGCTGCCCAGGGAAGGGGTGGATTCTCCGTCCCTGGAGTTTTTTAAAAAGAGACTGGATGTGGCACTTAGCACCATGGTCTAGTAACCACAGCGGGGTTGGATCAAGGGTTAGACTTGATGATCTCAAAGGTCCCTTCCAACCCAGCTGATTCTGTGATTCTGTGATTCTGTGAAATATGCTGGGCCATGCCCCAGCTGCCCTGTGGCCACTGGGAAGTGTTTTAGCTGGATAAAGCTTGGATGGGATCCACGTACAGACGTCCCCATGGCACAGGTCACACCATCCGCCCCCATCCCTGTGCTGGCAGGGAGTTGGCAGCGTCTCAATCCCAGCCTCTCCTTATTTTTGGAGCCCCTGGGCACATTTTGAGGTTGCTAAGGCAACATCAGCAGTGAGAGCTGAAGCTCTGAAGGGAAAAGAGGACACCTTTGGGATTCAGCACTGCTAAAAACCTTTGGCTTCCCTCCAGAAGGCTCCTAAAACACATCCCTAAAAACCCTTGGCTTCCCTCCAGCAGGCTCCTAAAACACATCCCTCCTGCCTCTCTTGTCATGTGCTGAGTGGGACAGTCTCCTGCTGGTTGTCCCCATCCCAGTCCATGGACCACCGGCCTCCAAAAGGCTTTCCCGTGCTCCCTCCACATCCAACACCCATGGAAGGAAGGATACATGTCCTGACAGTGCCTCCTTTCCCCGCAACAGCCCGATCCTTAAAATTTGGGTGCTGTGTTGGCTCCTTCCATCCCCTCCTTGACCTGCACCCAAGTCCCTGCTGGCCATGGATCCATCACAGGGGCATCCATGTGCCTGCCTGGGGGTGTGCAGAGCTCCAAAGCCCCAGCAGGGCTGTGGTGGGATCAGAGAGGGAAAAGGGATCTTTCCAGGATGAGATTTAGTGCCATTTTTTACCTCCAAGACTCTTTCAGCCAGCAAGGGAGGACATTTCACACCACTGGTGCATCTCACCTGCAGCCTTGGGTTTCCCTTGGGATGCAAAAGCGGATCAACAGCCTGGAAAAACACCCAACAGAGAGGTCAGGCTTCCTGGAGAAGGAGGGATGTGGAAGGGGAAAGGACACAACATCAACCATTGTTCCTGCTCCCCAGCTTCCTGAGCTTCCCCGTCCCACCATTGTTCCGTGTTTTCAGGGCTGCAAAAGCTGAATGAAATCCACAACAATTCCCAAAGAAAAGAAGAGGAAAGCAGAGTGATTTGGAAAAGGGGGAAAGCCAGTGATGGTGGGTCCTCCTGACCTAGACCTTGTCCAACATTAACCACCAAATCTGGGTTAAACCTCTGCTCCCGTGACCTGGTGGGGCTGTTTCTTGCTGTGTTTTCAGCTTGGGCACCTCCACCTTGGCACCTGCCCATGGGAGCAGCTGCCTTCACACCCTCTTCCCTGGATACCTGTTTATTTTTAGTAAATCCCCGCTGCATCCATGGGGAAAACAATGTGGATACACAGAGGCCAAAAATAGCTGTGGTTCTCCCTGAGATGTGCACCTGGAGAGGTCCCTCATTCCCCCACCCACGAGGAATTCCTAAACTTCTCACCCTGGGCTGATGGTTGCTCAGAGAGGCTGAATTTTATTAAAAATTCAATTAATTTTATTAAAAAAAAAAATCACCGGATACATCCCGTGCCACTGGCACGTGCCCAGCCCTTCCCCGCGGAAAACAGTGGCTGCTGGGAAGGCTTTGAAGTCCTGGTGCCATCCATGAGCCATCCTGCAGGACTTCCCAGGATGTTGGGACTCCTGGAAAACCTGTCTCCATCCCTGGTGTTCAACTGGGCCACGATGCAACTGGTAACTGGTACCAGCAGCAGCACCAGGGCTCCCAATAAAACCCAACACAGAAGCTTCGTGGCTCACACAAATCCCCACCACTGTCAGACTCCTAAGATCCATCCATCCATCCTT